ACCCTTTGATCCAGCAATAGCACTTCTAGGGCTATATCCCAAAGAGATCAAACAAATGGGAAAAGGACCCACACGTACAAAAATATTCATAGCAGCTCTTTTTGTGGTGGCAAAGAATTGGAAATTGAGAGGATGCCCATCAATTGGGGAATGGCTGAGCAAGTTGTGGTATATGAATGTAATGGAATACTATTGTGCTATAAGAAATGATGAACAGGCTGACTTCAGAAAAACCTGGAAAGACTTATATGGTCTGATGCTGAGTGAAGTGAGCAGAACCAAGAGGACTTTGTACACAATAACAGCCATGTTATGCAATGACTAAGATTGTTAAACTGAACCCTTCTCAGCATTACAGGATCTAAGACATCTCCAGAGGCCTCGGATGGAAAATGCTGTCCACATCCAAAGAAAGAACTATGGAAGTCGAATCGCTATCACTTATTTTTACCTTCTATTGAGTTTTGTTTCATCTTTCTGATGGTTCCTCATATTGGTTTTAATTTTTACTTGCAACTTCACTAATGTGAAAATATGTTTAATGGGTATGTAAATGTAAATCCTATATCAGATTGTGCGCCATCTTGGGGAGGATGGGGGGGAGGAAAAGGGAGAAAAATTTTCAACTCAAAAGCATATGGAAAAAATTAAAAAATTTAAATTAAATTTTTTTTTTCACAATTATGATTGCTAACTGTATTTCCTTCCGTCCTATATTCCCCCTCTTTATTTTGTTTTCTCTCTCTCCTTTCACATTGTCCCTCCTCAAAAGTGTTTTGCTTCTGACTGTTGCCTCCTCCAATCTGCCTTCTCTTCTATGAGAACTCCCCACTTCTCTTATCCCCTTCCCCTCTTACTTTCCCATAGGGTAAGATAGATTTCTATACCCAGTTGAGTGTGTATAGTATTCACTCTTTGAGCCAGTTCTGATGAGAATAAGATTTAAGTATTCCCTACTACTTCCCACGTCTTCCTTTCTGTAGTAAAAGCACTTTCATGCTTCTTTTATGTAAGATAATTTACCGTATTTGACTTCTCCCTTTCCCCTTCTCCCAGTGCATTCCTGTTTCTGAGCTCTTAATTTTGTTCTTTTAGGTATCATCCTATAATATTAAACTCACACCTGTGTCCTCTAGATATACTCATTCTATATTGCTTTAATAATGATAAAATTCTTACGAGTTACAAGTATCATCTTCCCATGTAGGAATATAAACAGTTTAACCTTATTTAAGTCCCTTATGATTTCCCTTTCTTATATGCCTTTTTATGCTTTTCTTAAGTTTTGTGTTTGAAAGCCAAATTTTCTATTCAGCTCTGGTCTTTTGTATCAGGAATGCTTGAAAGTCCTTGATTTCATTGAATGTCCATTTTTTCTCCCTGAAGGATTATACTCAGTTTTGTTGGGTAGGTGATTCTTGGTTGTAATCCTAGCTTTTTTGCCCTCCAGAATAGTGTATTCCAAGCCGTTTGATCCTTTAATGTAAAAGTGGCTAAATCTTGTGTTATCCTGACTGTGACTCCACAATACTTGAATTGTGCTTACAATATTTTCTCCTTGACCTGGGAGCTCTGGAATTTGGCTATAATATTCCTGAAGGTTTTCCTTTTGGTATTGCTTTCAGGAGGTGTTCGGTTGATTCTTTCAATTTCTATTTTACTCTGTGGTTCTAGGATATTAAGGCCATTTTCCTTGATAATGTCTTGAAAGATGATGTCTAGGCTCTTTTTTTGATTGTGGCTTTCAGGAAGTCCAAAAAGTTTTAAAATTATCTCTCATGGATCTGTTTTCCAGATCAGTTGTTTTTCCATTGAGATATTTCACATTGTCTTCCATTTTTCATTCTTTTGGTTTTGTTTTGTTGTTTCTTGATGCCTCACAGAGTCATTAGCTCCCACTTGCTCAGTTCTAAGTTTTAAGTAATTATTTTCTTCAGTGATGTTTTGTACCTCCTTTTCCATTTGGCCAATTCTATTTTTTGAGGAGTTCTTCTCTTCGGTGAATTTTTGTGTATATATATATATATTTTTCATTTTACCACTTTTGCTTTTCAAGGTATTCTTCTCATCGGATTTTTTACCTCTTTTGCTCGTTGGCCTAGTCTGTTTTTAAAAGTGTTATTTTCTTCAGTATTTTTTTGTGCCTCCTTTTACCAAGCTGTTGACTCCTTTTTCATGCTTTTCTTGCATCACTTTTATTTCTCTTCTCAATTTTTCTTCTACTTCTCTTGATTTTTTTAAATCCTTTTCGAACTCTTCCATGGCCTGAGACCAATTCATATTTTTCTTTGAGGCTTTGGATGTAAGAGTTTTGACTTTATTGTCTTTTGATATAAGAGCTTTGACTTCATTGTCTTCTGTGGAGTGTGTGTTTTGATCTTCCTTGTCACCATAGTAACTTTCTGTGCTCAGAATTTTTTTCGGTTGTTTACTCATTTTTCCAACCCACTTTTTAAATATATATTTTATATTCTCCCAATTACATGTTAAAATACTTTTTTAAAATGTTTTTGAAAGTTTTCATTTCCAAATTTTATTTTTCCCTCCCTTCTTTCCCTCCCTCTTCCCTGAGACATTAAGCAATCACATATAAGTTATAAATGTGCAGTCATGTAAAACATTTCCATATTAGTCATTTTGTACAAGAAGACTCGAATAAAAGAAGAAGAATGAAAGAAAGAAATTGAAAAATAGTATGCTTCATTCTGTATCAAACAATATCAATTCTTTCTCTGGAGGCAGATAGTATGCTTCATCATTAGGGCTTTGGGATTGTCTTGGATCATTGTATTGCTGAGAATAGCTAAGTCATTCCCAGTTCTTCAACATACAATGCATTGCTGTTACTATATATAACATTCTGATTCTGTTCACTTCACTTTATATCAGGTCATATAAGTCTTTCCAGATTTTTTCTGAAATTACCCTGCTTGTCATTTCTCATAGCACAATAATTTTCCATACAATCATATACCACAGCTTGTTTAGCTATTCCTCAATTGATGGACATCTGTTTCATTTCCAATTCTTAGCTACCACAAAAAGAGCTGTTATAAATATTTTTGTACAAATAGGTCCTATCCCCTTTATTTGGAAGTCTTTGGGATATAGACCTAGCAGTGATATTGTTGGATCAAAGGGTATGCATAGTTTTTTTAGCCCTTTGGGCTTAGTTCCAAATTATCCTCTAGAATGGTTGGATCAGTTCACAACTCCATCAGCAGTTCCAGACTATTTCTTGACTTTTAACTCTTTGTTGAAGTGGGGCTCTGCTTCCAGGGTGGAGGACATACTGTGCCAAACGTCAAGGGTTTTGTGCAGTTGTTTTCAGAGATACTTCTAGGGAACTTTCAGTTCTTCCAAGGTTGTATGATCTAAGGAGAGGCAAGTGTACTACTCTCTTGGCCTGTGCTGTGGTCTGTAAGCCACTACAAGCACTGTTTTTTGCCCTGGAACTGTGATGAGGGTTCCTGCTTCACAATGGCTACAAGCTCTGGTGTGCTGCTGCTCCTCCTGATCCTGGGACTGCTACCCAGGTCTGTGGACTGCATCTGAGTATGGGCAAAGCAACAGAATCCTGCCTCAGTACTAGTAAAGGGACCCCTGTAATCTCCTTCTGAGCAGTTGTTCTTCCCCTTACTGTCTGTGGACTAAAAGCTCCAAAAGCAGCCACTGCTGCTGTTGATTTCAGGCACATTCAAGGTCTGCTCCTGGTTTTCTGGGGCCTGGGCTGCGCTGATATGTGATCTGCACTGGACTGTGCTCTACTCTTACCCTGGTGCAACAGACCTTTTCTGCTAACCTTCTAAGTTGTCTTGGACTAGAAAATTGTTTCACTCCATGCTGTTGTGGGTTCTTCTGCTCCAGAATTTGTTTTGGGGCATTATTTAAAGTTGTTCAGAGGGGTTTGGGGGAGAGCTCAGGCAAATTCCTGCCTTTTCTCTGCCATCTTGGCTCTGCTCCCTGGAAAATATCTTAAAGATCTTTTAATTTCCACTACCCCCCCCATCATTTTACAGTTGAGGAAACTGAGACCCAGTGAGGGAAAGGGACTTTTTCAGGGTCACACAGATTGTAAGTTGTGAAGCTGAGATTAAAAACTCACATCTCTGACTCTAAATCCACTACTCTATATTGTTTATACCTTCAAACATAACAAAAGTGATAATTTATTCTTGTATAGTATTTTAAGATTTACATTACTCTGTATTGTTTATATCTTCAAATATAAGAAAATGATCTTTTATACTTGTATGGTATTTTAAGATTTACAAAATGCTTTTCTCACTAATTTTATGAAGGTAGGTAGTGTAAGTATCATTGTTCTCTTTTTAAGACTTGTCCAGTGCTGCACAGATAGAAAATGTCAAAGTTAGGACTCAAGCACAGCTCCTCTGATTTCAGGATCAGTGTTATTTCCAACTACAGCAAGTATATCTAAATAGCTATCATGTGGGAGATGCATTAAACTTATTCTGCTTATTCTTAGAGGGCTGTACTGGGGCCAATTGGCAGAGGCTACGGGGAGGCAGGTTTCAGTTCAGAATCTTTCTAAAAAGCCTCAGATCTGTCCAATAGTGGCAGGGCCTGCCTTAGAAGTTAGTGAATTTCTCATGACTTAGATGTTCTATAGCCAAAGATGGATATCTGCTTTTCATAGGTATGAAGTAGCATAATAGATAACACACAGGACTTAAATCCAAGTTGGATTCTGGCTGAGATACTCCCTAGCTGTATGACCTTGGGTTAACCTCACTCTCTGCCTCAGTTTCCTCATCTGTAAAATAGGGATAACAATAACAACTACCACCCACCCAGGGTTGTTGTGAGGATCAAATGTGTTAATGTATATGAAGTGCTTTACAAACCTTCTGTATTATATAAGTGCTATTATTATATAATTATTATTATAGAGGGAGTTTCTGTTTAAGTAGAGGTTGGACTAGATGGTCTTTGAGGGTCCTTTATGACACTGAAATTCTGTGATTCTCTATCTTTAGATACCATGACAACCATGGATGATAAGCTGCTTGGGGAGAAGCTGCAGTACTACTACAGCAGCAGTGAGGATGAAGACAGTGAGAAGGAAGACAAAATTAAGGACACTGCACTGGGTGATTCTGTTTGTGGAGAGACAGAGCTAGCCAGAGATGGTATCACAGTTAACACAGGTACAGGAAAAAACTATTAGATTCATCATGTTTGTGATTTTCTGACCTACACAAAAGGATAAAACATGAATTATTTTTATAAGTACTAAGCCTGTGAATGAGTGGATTATATCCCCATATTTGGACAACAGTAGATTATAAAAAGAATAATTAAGCCTAGCCTTTCAAGGTCTACTTTCATTTTTTTCCTGACCAGTACTCTTTCTCCTGTACTATATTGCCTTTTCCCCAATGATCCAAGAAATCTGGTGTAGTGGAAAGAGCAGTAGCTTTGGAGTCAGAAGACCAAGGAGACCTGCTTAGGTGTCCCATCTTTTCCACTGACTGCCAAACAGAGTTGGGTTGAAGGCATCAAACCCAGACAACAGTTTGTATGGAGGAAAAATAGATCAGAGGCTTTTTAGTGGGTTTCAAGCTTAATACAAGTCAGTACTGCAACGTGACTTAACAATCTTATATTGCATTAATAGAGTGTTCAGAACAAGAGTATTTTGTTCAATTTGGAGGGCAGCAAGAGGGCTAGAGACCATATCATATGAAGATCAGCTAAAGGGAGTGATGATGGTTAGCCTAGAGAAGAGAAGACTTAAGGGAACAACCTTTGTCTTTGTCAAGTATTTGAAAAGCTTTCATAAAAGAAGCTTTATCCCTGGAATTGGCTTGGCCCTACATGGCAGAACTGGGAGCTTAAAGGGTGGAAGTTGCAAAGAAGCTTATTTTCGTGTGATTTAGGGAAAATCTTTTAAATAATTAGGGCTTTCCAGAAGTGGGATGAGCTGCCAGGTTATCCTTCATTGGTTTTTAAGCAGAAGCTATATGACCACTTGTTGGGGATATTATAGTGGGGATTCCTTTTCATTTACAGGTTATACTAGATGACCTCTGAAATCCCTTCACTTATCATCCCTGAGATTCTGTGATTTCCCCTTTCTGGGCTCAGTTTCCTAGTCTGCAAATTGAAGTGATTGGACTAAAGGGTCTCTAAGATCCTTTCCAGTAATTAACTGAGGTCTGGGTTATCTAACAGCATTAGTGGCTATGGTCTCAGCTTTTATGATATTCTGCGTCAGAGCCAGTATCATAAAAAGATATACTAATAAGCATCATTCAGGTCCTCAACCTAAATATCCTGAATTAAAGTTCTGTGCAGCAAGAAATAGTAATTGTGTTTTGTCACATTCACATGTCCTTCTCCCATCCAGTTAAAGTAGAGTCATTTTTTTTTTTTGCTCAATTGCCTCTCAAGGCCTAGGCAGACTGGAATTCTGGGTCAAAGAGTTCACTTAAACCACCACCCCTTCCATCATTTACGCGACTCAAATTAACGTATCACTCAAAGGTTCACAAACCACTTTCTTCACAACATACCTGTGATAGAAGTAATGCAGGGGTTAGTAACCTCTAATTAGCACATGGGGAGATTGAGGCTGAGATTCTAACCCATTTCTCCTGTCTCGAAGTCCAGTGCTCTTTTCACTATAGTGTGCTGCTTTTTCTATACCATGACATCATAGGATGATGTTAAAACTGGAAGAACATGGAATGTTTATCAGTCAATCACCAAACATTTATTAAATGCCCACCATGTGCAAGGCACTAAACTAAATGCTACAGGTCCAAAGAAAAAAAGTGAATAGTCTCTGCCCTCAAGGAGCTTACAGTCTAATGGGGATAAGATAACATGTATATGTATGGTTATTTACAAGACACATAGAAAGTAGACACAAGACTGTAAAACTGTGATCCTTTTGATCCAGCAATATCACTGCTAGGTCTGTATCCCAAAGAGAAAAAAAAAAGAAAAGGCCCTATTTGTACAAAAATATTTTCTTTCTCTCTTTTTCTTTCTTTTCTTCCTTTCTTGAGCCTTGAACAAAATGGCTAGTATGGAAATGTTTTACATGATTGCACATGCATAACCTATATCAGATTGCTTGCCATCTCAGGGAGGGGGAAGGGGAGGGAGGGAGGGATAGAATTTGGAACTCAAAATTAAAAAAAAAACCATGAATGGTAAAAATTGTTTTTACATGTAATTGGGGGGAAAATAAAATATTTTTTGAAAAGTACATGCAAGATAGCCTTGGACAGGAAGGCACTAACAATTGGGAAGGTAGCACATGAGTCAAATCTTGAAGGAAACTAGAGACTCCAGGAAATAGAGATGGGGGCTGGGAGTGAGCGTTCTAGGAATGGTGAACTTCAGTGCAAAGGCATGGGCACAGAGGAGATAGAGCATTGTGTGTAAGGAGCTTCAGGTAGTCTGCTATGATTGTACTGTAGGATATGGAGGAGAATAAAATATAAAAAGACTTAAGAAGTTGGAGGGGGCCTGGCTGGTGATAGACCACAAGGGTGTTATCTGGGCATAACTTTGAGTGAGTGGAGGTCATAGGAGCTGAGTAAATGAGTAACAAGGAGGTTAGGACATTTGAGAGGACAGTGGTATGTTGAAGACCTCTGGTATGAGATCAGGAGTTGGGGGGTAGAAAAGAAGTCAATGAGCCAGGCACTGAGCTTATTTGAGAAAGGTTCCTGAATGTCTTGGGAGGGTCACTAGATAACTCTTCCTGTAAGATCCTGGTGGTGTTCTGTTTTTCTTTGCCCATTACTACACCATACATATTCTCATAGAAGTAGCATGATGCTCATTGAGAGGGAGTAAGGAGCCACTGAAGCTTCTTACATATAAGAGTGATATGGTCCAACCTGTGTTTTTGAATTACCAGTTTGATAGCTATATAGAGGGTGAATTAGAGAGGGAAAAGGTGTAATGCATGGAATCTAACTAAGAGGCCATTGCATTTAGTCAGGTCGGGAGTGATAAAGGACTGAACTAGGGCAGTTATAATGTGAGTGGAGAGTATGATGGATGCAAGAGTTGTAGAACTAGAATCAGCAATGTCTGGTAATCAGTTAAATGTCAGGATGAGAAAGCAGGAGTGGAGGGTGAGTTGAGTTTATGAACTTGGTTGAAAAGGTGGTGATGTCCTTAAAAGAGATAGGGAAGGTAGGGAGGAGGAAGGTTATTAGGTTTAGGATATAACAGTGGAAAGTTTAATATTGGACATATTTAATTGAAAATGTCCTTGAAACATGCAGTTGAATGTTAGTCAACAAACACTTAATAAGTGCTTACTATGTGCCAGCTACTGTATAGGATAGAGCTCTGGAGAAAGAGAGGGGCTAGATATATAGGTTTGGTAGTCATCTGCATAGAGATGATAGTTGAACCCATGAGTACTGATGAGATCACCAAGAAAGAAGAGTATATAGAGAGAGAAGAGAAGAGGGCCTAAGACAGAGTCCTGCATGCACCCATATGGAGGGGGTGGCATATGATCCTGCAGTGCAGGCTGAGAAGGTTGACCAGACAGGTAAAAGGGGAACCACAACAGAGCATCATATTACTGAAAACCTTGTCAAGACAAGATATACAAGTTTTGGGTTTTTGTTTTTGTTTTTGTTTTTGTTTTTGCAATTGGAGTTAAGTGACTTGCCCAAGGTCACACAGCTAGTAAGTGTCAAGTGTTTGGTCTGAGGCCAGATTTGAACTCGGGTCCTCCTGACTTCAGGGCTGGTGCTCTATCCACTGTACCACCTAGTTGCCCCCGAGATACATATTTAGAAGAAGGTGGTGGTCAGCATTGTCAAATTCTGCGTTTCTCCTGACTTCAACCTCTCTGTCTCAAGTATTCTTTCTGAGCCACCACACTTGTTCTGTTGTCTCACAGTCACAGTGATTTACCATTGCTGTGGTATCTTTCGCCATCAGGTCCAAAAGGGGTCATCAATGACTGGCGCAGGTTTAAGCAGCTGGAGACAGAGCAGAGAGAAGAGCAGTGTAGAGAAATGGAAAGACTCATCAAGAAGTTGTCCATGACTTGTCGGTCTCATTTGGATGAAGAGGATGACAAACAGAAACAGAAAGAGCTTCAAGATAAAGTCAATGGGAAGGTAATTTGACCCAAGCATTTCCAAGGAATGTGTTCTAGATGTAAGAGACCAAACTAGAGTAACCATTTATTAAGTGCCTACTATATGCTAAGTGCTTTTTGCAAATATGGTCTCTTTTGATCCTCACAACTCTTCGAAGTAGATGCTGTTAGTATCTCTATTTTACAGGAAAACTGATGCTAATATGTGTCTGGGGCTGGATCTGAACCCAGGTCTTCCTGACTCCAGGCCCAGTGCTCTATCCACTGTACCACCTAGGAATAACAATAAGATGTTATTTTTTTTTTTTTAATTATAGAGAATGGCGAGACGGGGTTTGGAGTTTGTTTTGACAATTGTTGTACATTTTCTACTACCAGTTTTATTTAAAGCCAAAAAATTTAATGCCTGAAAATGCCCTGGCCTTGACATTTAGTAACAGTATGATCTTGGGCAAGTCACTTTTCTGAACCTTTATTTCCTCTTTTGTAAAAGAGGATAATAACTGTACCACTCCCTTCATAGACCTAATGTGAGAGGAGTGCTGGGCACTTTGATTCTCCAGTGGTTTTTTCTTGGTGCAGTGCATAGAAAGAAATATATAAAATGAAAAGAAAAAGAAATATAGAAAAATATTAGGCAAAATGACATTATGGGGTACATTTGATTCCAAAGGAAGCCTTCCTAGTACGGGACACAGAAAAGGAGGTTAAAAGTATTGCCGAGCTGGTATGGTCTCAGATGATTGACTAACCCTATTATAGCAGGGTTGGAGATGTTATAGTGAAGTTGGTTATTCTGTCCTTATTATGTAACTGCAAAATGACATTATTTGGGTTACACTTGTTTTGAAAGTGATTTCTTGGGTTGCCAAAAGGATTTAAGTGGAAGGCCACAAACTACTCAGTACTTTGAGAGTAGGAGAGAGAGTATTGAGAGAGAAGAGGGTGCAGAAAGAAGACTGAAGTTTGCATGGTTTGTGTTCCTTCACTTAAGTCCACTAAGGGCTCACTGTGGTATGCTGGTGACCATCGTAAGGCTAGACCAGGAGGACAAAAGCTCTGACATGTTTACTGGCCTTCATTTATAGGCCAGTGATCAAATCTGAATCTTACTTCAGGCCTAGTCTTGATAAGTGAAGAGAGAATTATCAAAAGAGGGTTGAGAGCTAGGTTATTGTGTGTGTGTATGTGTGTGTGTGTGTGTGTGTGTGTCCCAACGCCTCTTTCTCAGTATATATTTCCAGTTCTTGTAGTCTGTAAGTGAAAAAGAGTTCGTGACCAAGCATTTGGCTTTGAGGCCCTCGCTGATCCTTTATGCTGCTGGAGACCGAAGGAGCCCTTTTCATTGCTGACCAGCGTAGGTGTTACTTGCATGCAATTTGTGTGAGGCTTGTTTTTGCACTGCATTTATCAGCCTCTTGATCCTATTGCAGATGACCTTGAAGGAGTACAGCATGATGAATGAGGAGCAGGACGATGAAGAGTTTTTACAACAATATAGGAAACAACGAATGGATGAGATGAGGCAGCAGCTGCACAGTGGGCACCACCAGTTCAGGCAGGTCTTTGAGATCACCAGTGGGGAAGCATTTTTGGACACAGTTGATAAAGAACAGAAAAGCATACTCATCGTGATTCACATTTATGAAGATGACATCCCTGGGGCAGAAGCAATGAATGGCTGCATGATCTGCCTCGCTGCTGAGTACACCTCTGTCAAGTTCTGCAGAGTGAAGAGCTCCCTCATTGGGGCCAGCTCCCGGTTCACCAGTAATGCCCTTCCTGCGTTGCTGATTTATAAGGGAGGAGAATTAATTGGTAATTTTGTCCGAGTCACTGACCAGCTTGGAGAAGATTTTTTTGCTGTGGACTTGGAAGCATTTTTACAAGAGTGTGGTTTGCTCCCAGAAAAAGAAATGGTGCTGCTGACATCAATCCATAACCCAACTGCTGATTTCAGTGAGGATAGTGATCTGGAAATAGATTGAAGTGGTAGGGAAAGGGACTATTAGTGTAGGGGTGAGTAAGTACAAGTAGGGGGCTTGTCTTCTGAGGTACATGTCTACATGTTTATTATTGTTCCTTCCTGTGCACTTTGGCTTTTTGCCTATTCTTTGTAAACTCCTTTATTATATGTAAAATTAAAGGTTCTTAACATTTCTTAGATTAAATCAATAAAATGTTGAATCACTGTGTGTCTCCTGGGAAATTGTCTTCAAAGTTGTGTAAACAGGAAACAATTTATTTGCCTCAGAGTCTCTTACATGATGTCTTTGTTATCATTACCAATCAATATTTACTTAGCATCCACATGGCATTGTCCTGGAAACTGTCTTTAGATGATCCCAGTGGTCCCTTCCAGCTCTAAAACTCAAGGATTCTATAATTAGAGCTTTCTTGACTTTATAAATGTTGCAGTACTTAAGCAGACACTGTGCTACTCTTGATCGGATGCTTAGCCCTGGAAGGTATCACATTCTTTCCAAGTCCCTTTCCGTTGTCAGTCTGTTATTAAAATATTCCAGATGACGTGTACATAAAATTCTGATTATATTAATGAGAAAGCAGTCTTTGCTCCTGGCAGTGGCACTCTTTTGTTGCATTAAATCTTGAATTAAGTTCAATTGGAGATGACATTTGCCCTGCCCCATAGTAGAGTCACTCTGCTTAGAAATTAGATTTGAGACTGAAGTAAAAATTTACCACAGATGGAGCTAGTTGAAGCATCCCTTATCAGGGCTTCTTAAACTTTTTCCACTTGCAACCCCTTCAGTGCTTCGTAAGCTCTTGCTCCTTACAATCTTGCTTTCTTAACTACCACTTTTATGACTTTGTACGGTTTGTAAAATGTCTTCCTTACAACAGCCCCACAAGGAAAATAGTACAATAATCATTATGCACATTTTACAGATGAGAAAACTGAGGCACTGATAGATGAAGGTTTTTGCCCTTAGTCTCAAAACAATAAACACTTGTGTGGAATGTTTTGCTCTGCTTAAGGAGACACAAAAGTTCAGATATGCCTAGTCCTTACACGGAGCTTACAGGCTAACAAGGCATTAAAACACCAACACTAATAGCTATAATGCGCAGTATTATACGATAAGTGTCCTGGAGTTACAAAACAAAATACTATGTGAAGTCTGAGGGGGAAGGTTGTTACTAAGGTGGGCAATAGGTGAAAGTTTCATGGAGTCAGTGGCATTTGCTTTTGAAGAATCCTAAGAATTCAACTAGCATAGAGGGAGAGGATTTCAACTTGGCCCTTTGGGCTATGTGTGGTAATTTTAATGCAGCCCTACGTTGCCAGGCAATTTCTCATCTCAGCTCCAGGAATCTAATTTATCAATGTACTGGCTCCTTCTAGCAATGCAGATAGGAACTTGTAGCTTAGTAAACTAACACAAGTTACTGTGACCTATGTAGTTCACCTCCTGGGGATGACATCCTGGGGCGGAGCCTTTGTAATTTTAGCTAGTCTGGGCCTCAGGTGGAAGTCATCCACGGTGTACTTGCACCTTTGTAGCTTGGTAGGACCTGCCAGAGCCCTTTCTTGTAATAGTCTTCAGGAACCCAGAGGGTAATATCCATGCCAAGAGGAGCCATCTTAAGGGAACTTAATAAAGATACAATCCTAGTCATTAAAAATGAATATGTATGGAGCACTCATAATAGCCAAGTGTTGATTTTCATAAAATTAATGTAATGAATACATAAATTCTGGAATTTTAGACATGTTATGTGTATATCCTCTTGGGAGATGATTGTATACATGCTCAGTGCTTATAGTAGTAAGAATTGAACTTGACTTCTAAAACCATGACTCATAATACTTTATTTGGGATAAATGGACATAGGTTCTTAACAGAGAGAGAAAGGGTCTCAGGAGTCATCTGTTCCATTCTATGCTGAACCAGGACCCTTTATTTAATACTACCATTGACAGGAACCTCACTTTTTCTCCTAAGACAGCCCATTCCATTGAGTACATTAGATTGTTAGGAAGTTCTTAGAGCCAATACCTTAATACCTTTCACTCATTAGTCCAAGTTCTGTCCCTTAAAGAATCAAGTAGAACAAGTCTGCTTCTCTTCCTTACAAAAACTCTTCAAATAACTGAAAATAGTGACTGACCTCTTCTCTACCCTCAAGTATGGCCTGGAATAAGCCTAAGTAAATAGCAAGACATCCAGGCAATCTACTCAGCTCTCTCTGTCTAGAATTGGGGATAAAGACCCTTGGCCACTTAAACACCATAGCATTAAACAGAGGAGAGCGTAAGAAGGTAGGCAGTGTGGTGGAAGGAGGGCTGGGTTTGGAATGACAGGAGCTGGATTTGATCTCTGAATCTGCTACTTATTTGTGTGACCTTGTGCATGTAACTTTTCCTCTTTGGGCTTCAGTTTATCTATAAAATGAACAGATTTTGATTAGACAATTTTTGAAGTCCCTTCCAACTACGTGATGTTATGAATGGTCCAGATGACCCTGTTTTAGCTTACTTAGTGAAAAGTAGCTCTAGGACTAGATAAAGCAGAAATGAGGGCTATAACCTAGCATGACCACAGGAGGGCAGTAGAGGAGAAGGAATGACAGGGGAACCTTTTTCGACTTCTAAAAAGCTCTTGCTCTTGATCTTCTGAATAGACAAATAAGGCTCATGTATAAGCCATAGCATCAGCAGCAATAGCAGGAGCGACAACAATAACATAGAGTACTTTAAAGGTTTTCAAAGTGCTTTTATCTCTCATTTGATCCTTACAACAAACCTTGTGAAGTCAATGCTACTGGGATCACCCCTATTTGATACGTGAGACTACTACTATTCAGAAGAGTTCTGACATACCGTGGTCTGATAAACTTATGTGTTAAAGCAAGTTTTAACTTTAAAAAATCCATTCCCTTTTGACATTAAGCACAAGGAATACAAAACTGTTGAATAGATTTATTTTTAACATTCATTGAAAAAAAATTTTTTTGAGTTGCAAATTCTCTCCCTCCCTTCCACCCCTTCCCCACCTATTGAGAAGGCTAAAAAATGTGATATCAATTACACATGTGAAATCATGCAAAACATTTCCATATTAGCCAGGTTGCAAAAAAAAATATGCTTCAATCTGCACTCAGACTCCAATCAGTTTTCTCTCTGGAAGTAGATAGCATTTTTTATCTTAAGTCCTTCTTGTCTTGGATTATTATATCGATCAGATTATGTTGATCAGAATAGCTAAGTCAGTCACAGTTGATCATTATACAATATTGCTGTCTGTGTACAATGTTCTGGTTCTGCTCATTTCACGTCTTCCTAGGTTTTTCTCAAATTGTCCTGCTTATCATTTCTTATAACACAATAGTATTCCCTCACAATCATGTACCTCAACTTGTTTAGCCATTCCCCAATTGGACATCTCTCAATTTCCAATTCTTTACCATCACAAAAAGATCTACTATAAATATTTTGGTACATTTGGGTCTTTTCCCTTTTTTTTTAAATATCCTTGAGATACAGACCTAACAGTAGCATTGGTTGTATCAGTTCACAATTCCACCAACAGTGCATTAGCGTCCCAATTTTTCCACATCTCTACAGTTAACAATTTTTTTAAAAAAATCTATTTTTATTCAATATCTTGGCCATTGAAGAAAGAGGCAGCAGGGAAAAGGAGGGGGGGGGGACAAAGAAGGCAGAAGAAAAGGACTGAGAGAAAAGGAGGCTAAGGAAGAGTAAAAATCCCTAAAGTGAGGGATATTGAGTTAGAAAGATGAGACATCAAGAATGTCAGGAAATCTTGCCTTTGCCCAGCTAGGAGTACGTCAGCAAATGGAAAAGAACCTAGAGACTACAGGCAGGCACCACAGCCAAGCAAAATCTTGATTTCAGACAGATTTGTAAAGAAATAATGTTTTTTCTTATTTTCAGGTTCAGTAGCATCACAGAATCGCTGAAATAGATCCTTAGAGGAGGAATGTACTGCAAAACAGAATATTAGAACACAGAATGACAGGATTGTTAACAGTGTTTTAAAGAGAGAAGGGGGTGGGGTACTACCAGGAGTCTGTTTTTGCAACTATCTGTGGGTCTGGTTCTGTGAAAGTCAGAATGGAAAAGTGAAGAAGCGCTTGCTCCCTGCAGTCTTGCTTCCTTAACTGCCATTTTTATGGTTTTTTAAGGTTTGTAAAATGTCTTCCTTACAACAGCCACACAAAGAAAATAATATAGTAATCATTATGTACATTATAACAGGGACCAGTGATCTGAGTTTGAGAAGCAGAAAGACAGTGGGAATGGAGAAAGCCTAAGTTGAACAAACAGACAGGTTCAATTCAATTCAAAACGCGTTTATTTAAAAATTAAAATCGGGCAAGTGGAAGCTAATGATTCTATGAGACATCAAGAATGAGTCAAACAAAATCAAAAGAATGAAAAAATAGGAGAAAATGTAAAATACCTCATTGGAAAACAATTGACCCGGAACATGGATCCAGGAGAGATAATTTATGAATTATTGGACTACCTGAAAGTCATAATAAAAAAAAGATCCTGGATAGCATCTTTCAAGAAATTATCAAGGGAAACTGCTCTGATTTCCTACAACCAGACAATAAAACAGTTATTGAAAGAATCTACCAATCACCTTGTGAAAGAGATTCCAAAATGAAAACTCCAAAGAATATTGTAGTCAAATTCCAGAATCATCAGGTCAAGAAGAAAATATTGCAAGCAGCAAGAAAGAAACAATTTAAATACTGTGGAACCACAGTCAGCAAAATACAGGACTTAGCAGCTTCTACATTAAAGGATCAGTGAGCTTAGAATATGATATTCCAGAAGGCAAAGGAGTTTAGATTACAACCAAGAATCAACTACCCAGCAAAACTGAGCATAGTCTTTCAGGGGAAAGGATTTACATTCAATGAAATAGGGGACTTTCAATCATTCCTGATGAAAAAAACAGAGCTAAACAGAAAATTCAATCTTCAAATACAAGACTCAAGAGAAGCATAAAAAGTTAAACAGGAAAGAAAAAAAACCCCAAATATGTTATTCAATAAAGTTAAACTGTTTACATCCCTACACAGGAAGATGATAAATGTAATTCTTGAGAACTGTATTTTTATTAGGACAGGTAGAAGGGGTATATATAGACAGAGGGTGTGCATGTAAGTTGACTTTGATATGATGATAAAAATTAAT